CTGGGCCGGGGCAGCAGGCTTCCCACTGCAAGAGGGGGACATGGCATCTTCATTCTAGGTTGGATGCCTACCTTGGAGATGAACTTTCTGTCCTACCCTTTGCCTGTATGAACAAGGCTAAGGAGCACTGGGGAGAGGTGACTGGCTCACTGGGGCTGTCTGTGCTCCCACTGTCTGGAATGGTAAGGATATGTGAGTGTCCTCTGGGCCAAGTGGTCACTAGAAGGTGGCCGGGCCACTTTTGGATTTTTACAGGAGCCCACCCAGGAGGGCTGCTATGGAGCTAGAGGAAGCTGGGGAGAGGGTGAACCCCAAGAGCTAGAGCTCTGGGGACCTAGCGTGCCCCTCTGTGAGGACGCTCCTGTGCGGGTTCTGTCAGCCCCACGCGAACCCCGGAGGGCTGGCACTCGGAGTCAGGCCACATGGCAGGGGTTCTGTTGTGCTTTAGTCCCTCTCCCCCTCTGTGGAGCAGCTGGCAATAGAAGGTGGGCTGAAGGATGATCTATTCTGGGAGCAGGAGAATATTAGCATTCAAATGGACTGAGGATTAAAGTTTTAAACTGGACTAGACTGGACTGGACTTCCTGACACCCAAGAGTGACCGCAAAGCTTTGAAACTGGCCCCCACTGTTATTCAAGAAACAAGGACGGGAGACTCAACTTAGTGTTGCTGCTACGAAGGGCGGAAAATGAGGCCGTTTCCTCCTTGTGGTCTGGCAGTGCCTGAGCACCAGAGTCAGAGGGTCCTGGGTGGGACCCTCTGTGGGTGACCCAATCTGTGGGTGGCATCACTGCCACGTGACAGCTGTGTGACCTTGGGCAAGTCACTTACCTTCTCTGAGTCTCGACTTCCTCCTCTACCAAAATGAGGGCGACTACCTGTCTCTCAGGGTGGTTGTGGGATTTATTAAGTCTATGGGCACATAGTAGGTGCTCAGTAATGATGGAGCCCTAACGCTCTGGTATTTCCCTTAGTAGAGAAGCTGGCACTAGTTGCACAGTAGCCCCTGGCAACCAGAAGTTTCTAGAGAGCCTTTTCTGGCCTGGAATGAGGGCAGAAGGAGAGTTTTTACCCTGGAGGTGAGGGCAGGGCACACAGCAGCAGTGCCCCTGGACCTGTGCCAACCAGAAGGACGGTGCTGCTCAGAGCCCAGGGCTGGGGCCAGGACAAGCCCGGGAGCGTGGGCCTTCTTCCTGCTGCCCCGATCCAGTGGCCGGACCAGACTATTTTGAGGTCTGGGAGGGCCTGGTCACATGCTCCCTCTTCAGGGAACAAGAAGTGTGCAAGCGTGTGGATCAGGGCAGTTGACCTGGGTCAAAGGCATCATCTTTTCCCTAGGAAGGGCCAAGGTCAGGGTTCGTTAGCTGGCATTCTGCTGCCTTTCGTTCAAAGGACAGGGCTCTGGGCAGTGCTGGACAGGGGCATGTGGTGGAGTGGGCTACGAGTTTATAATCCCTTGTCCCGTGAGCCACGTCTGCCTGGGGGCTCTCCAACCCAGGGGATCCAGTTCGTCAAGCTGTGTGGCTTGGGCTGTGCTGCCAAGGAAATGCCTGGTGGTCTAGTCCATGCTCAGAAGCGGAGGGGACTGGGGGACAATCCCTGCTCTCTGGACCCTGGGTCTCTCTGAGCTTCAGTGCTGTTGTCTGCAAAATGGGTGTGTTCATCCTTACCGAAGTCACAGAGTCGTCCCGGGACTAAATGGGAGACCAAAGTGAGAGCATGGAAAATGCCGTTAATACGGATTCTTGGGCAGTTCACGACCAGAGAAGATCATGGAGGTCAATTCTACCACAGCGCCTGCGCTAGGGGGCAGTGCCACCCGCGGGGCCCCCTCCCCTGCAGCCGGGAGGCTGGCGGGTGGAGAAGTGAGTCTCTCAATGTTTGTCCAGACCTAGATGTGGGAAATTTCCAGCTTGAGAATGACTCAACTGCAGAGATTAGCAGCTTTCATCCGAAATCGGAGTCAGAGAGGCCTGGGCCCTCGTTCTGCGTGCTGGTGGGGGTGGAGGGGGAGGGGAGGGTGGAAAGTTGGGCTGTCTGGTTACTAATCCCGGCTGCACCATTATCTTGTTTTGTGACCTTGAGCATTTCACTTCCTCTCTGTAAACACAAATCCCTGCCTTTGAAAAGAAGGAGCTGGGCCAAGGGTCTAGAGAAGTGTGTGTGTGTGTGTGTGTGTGTGTGTGTGTGTGTCTTTGCAGTCTTTGACAGAGGTGGAGGCTGTGCCTGAGGCTCTGGACTTCTGGCATCACTGTCACCTGGGCAAGAGAGGGGACTGTGTCCACTACAGCCTGGGCTCTTCAGGGGCCCCTCGGGAAATGGGGTCTAATTGACTTTGGGAGTTGGGGCGTGGGCAACAGCTTCTCAGGAGATGGTGACATATGCCCCAGGGAGGGGCAACAAATGGTCCACGTGGACACATACTCTTTCCTCCGGCAATCTGTCTGTCCTGAAGAAGTCCTTCCCTGGCTTCCTGGGATGAGTCGTGGGAGGCTGTCGGGCTTGGGGGCAACGCTGAGCCTATGGAAAGAGCTAGATCCCAGGTCCTGGGTGTGGCCGGGCGGGGAGCTGAATGGGACAGGATTTCTTACCTCGGTCAGAATCTGCCACCTCTGACATTTTAGATGACATTGGAGGTTACAGCCTCCCCTCTCACCAAGGTTCTGCACAAGCAGTGACATGTCCCACAACAGCTCTGTGACTTCTGGCAAACCTTCGATGAGGACTTGGGCCAGCCTGGGGACAGGACACGGGGAGGCGGGTGACCGCGAATGCTTCAGAGCCACTGCGCCTGGGCTCAAACCCCAGTTCTGTCACCAGACCACTGTCCGATCTTGGCTCTGCGCCTTGGCCGCAGCTGACAAGTAATGGAGAATAAAATATGTATTTGGTAATGTCATGGCCTTCAGCTACATAAAGGCTTATAAACTAAACTCTTTTTAGAATTTATGAAGGGGGAGGATCAGCCTTTCTCTTCATCAGACAGAGACTTCAACAGACCAGCATTTCCCTGAACTTGCTCAGTGGAGCACAGGACCAGGAGACAGACCGCAGACACAGAGGGGCCGGTGTTGGGCATGGGTCGGGCGAGGCTGGGGTCAGCCAGGGTAAGCAGCTGTGCTGGCTGCAGCGCTTTTCAGAACCTTTCTAAGCTCAGATGCCTTGTGCCTTGCTGTGCGTGAGTGCCGTGCACAGCGTTTCCCCAGGTTCCTTTGACTCAGGAGCCCTCCTCCATGGGGTGTATGGTGGGACAGGTTTGGGGGCGAACAGGAAGTTTCTGTCTCCATCTGACGCTCACATGGAGTAACCATATCAGCTGGGATCTTGGTGTATTGATACCCCGCCCCACTCTGCTTTTGGCAATGCTGTGCACGTAATTTTTTAGTGCAGGATGCCTCAGATGCTCTGTGGAAGTGAGGAGGGCAGGCTGGCATCACCTGGAGACAAAGAGCCCACGCTGGGACCAGGGCAATTTGGAGCCCTTAGGAGCTGTGGGCGGGGGCTGGAGTGCAAATCACTGCTGCTGAAAATCCGATCACTCCTCTGAAAACTGGGGTGAATGAACGCCGCCCTGTCAGGATTCCCTCAAGCTTTGGTTATTTTGTCTTGGGTGGTGAAGAAAGGAGGGCAACCGTCAGCATGTTTGCGTTCTGCAGAAACTGTTTAAGAAAGTAAAAGCAACCTTGTACTGGTCACTGCTGACCTCAGAAATGACATTTCTCCTGTTGTTGCCCTAAGAGAGACAGAGGCAGCTCATTGGGCCAGGGGCAGGAAGCCCAGGCTTTTGATGAGGTGGTCTTAGGTGCAGGTGAGCCAATGGAAGCTGAGGCCACCAGCCAATGAGGACTCTGCCCCAGGAGCCTGCCTGCAGCTGCAGGGAGCAGCCAGGAGCACTGTGACACTGTGTCCCACCCCCCTGGGGTGGGGTGGGGGCTAGTGGTGGTGCAGGTGCGACTGCTTCTTTCTTTGATCCCTGAATCCCCAATAAATCTCTCTCTCTCTCTCTCTCTTTTAGTTGACTTATGCGGGTAGGTGGGAAGACTGGGAGAAAGTGCCCCTACCCTGACCCCCTTTATTTCTCCAGTGTATTTCAATCTGCAGGGAGCAAACCATTAGTGGGGAGAGAAATAAATTCAGTAGGTTGTGACCAGCATTCTATAGCCTGAACTAGAACACAATGTAGCAGAATGCCTTGCCTGTAGGAGGGGTAGGCATTGCTCCATGAAAGAGAGGCAGGTGGGTGCAGGGTTGCAGTGTAAAAGGCGTTACTCTGGGTCGCACTCAGCGACATCTTGAAGCCACTGGCTAGCTGATTCCAGGGGCCGGCACCAGCTGGTGAGGGTGCATCTGCTGTCCAGTTCTGCCCTGGACTGCTGCCCAGTCCTGGCCAAGTTGTCGTTCCAGAGAAAAATGGGTCCCGAAGAGAGGTGCTTATGATGTGTGTCCCCTTGAAAGGGGCATTTTTTGTGTGCATGTCAATCACGTCGCTGAGCCTGGAAGGCCCTGCTGGAAGGAAAGGGCCTTCCCGCTCCTGGCTGTCACCGTCAGCTGGAGGGTGTCCAGTCAGACTCTGTAAGCCGTCTGAGAAGGGGGAGCACTGGACTTGGCATCCCCGATTCTGGTTCTAATCCTGGGCCTGCCACTCAACTGCTGTGTGACCCAGGGAAAGTGACTTACCCTTTCTGGGCTTCAGTTTACTCATGTACGAGGGGAGAACTGGACCAGGTGATTGTTTTTCTAAGGTTTTGTTTTGTTAGTATAGCTGTTCCAGGGCGACACAGAAATTCTGGGTCTTGAAGGGAATCACAAAAGGGAAGCCAGCACCGCGCCCAGGCTTCTCCCTGAGGCCTCTGGCAGCACAGGTCTGGCTGGCCCTCGGTGCATTAGCTGCGTGTGTCCTAGACCCTGGAGAGTGTGTAGGGGTGGGGGTGGGGCAGCGGATGGCCACTCCCTGGCAGCGCTCAGGGTCTGCGACAACAGAGGCAGCTGAGTCGGAGCCTGGTCTCCATGGACAGCATTTATTAGGCGCCATTCTCAGTGTGAAGACAGATAGGCAGGAGGGGCTAAAAGGAGGCCATGGCAGCCGCAGCCTTTGGGGTCCAGGGGCTGCCCGGGGTGGGGCTGTGGGCGTGGGGGCATGTCACCCACACGTATTGCATATTCTGTGGCAGTGTGCCCAGGCATAAGGCATCGGGGAAGCAGAAAGGCTGCCTGCAGAGGGAGGGGCGGGGGGAAGCGACACTGGCCTTCCAGGTCCCTGGGAAAGACCCAGCCAGAGACCAGAGACCGGAGACCGAGCGGTCTGCCCGCTCGGTCAGGGCCGTTTAGCCTCCTTCCCCACCATCTCCTTGCAACTTTGGTTGTGGCTCCCTCGGGACTGACAGGACGGGACCCCTCGAGGGCAGGGTCACACACAGGACAGAGGCAGCCAGCATTGCTCCCCACTCCGGCATAGACACAAAGGGCATGTGGGCCCTGGGCCCTGCTCTCCTTGGCACGTGGGCAGCCAGCTTCTCCACAGTGGGACAGGACTCACATACAGGCCGGGCCAGACGTCCTCCCTCCCGGGGTTCCGGGAGGCTGAGCATGTGGCCGGGGTTGGGCTAAGGCTGAGCACACTGTGGGCCCCCTGCTCCAGCTCTCCCCAGTGCCAGGGCTGGCCTTGCTTAGCAGTGTCAAGGAGCTGATGCGGGAAGAGCACGAGGGCAGCATTGAGGGGGGAGAAGCCCCTCATCCACCGCTGATGCTATCCTGAGTCACAGTTCCAGCTCCATCTGCGGGGCCCCATCCGCTGCTCTCTGTCTGGGCTTCCAGGTTGCAGGTGGGGCAGGCAGTGGGCACGCCAACTCCAAGCCCCCCGCCTGGGAGGGGCATTCTTTGCTGCAGCCTTAGCTCATCTTTAGCCTTGGGACACAGGCACTAACACTGGCTGTGGGGTCAGAGATAAGGTCCCCGTAGGACACGCCACGCTAGTCCTCTAGGCTGCTCTGTCCAACTCCCAAATTTTTGGAGCGCCAGCTTCCGGCCTTTTCTCTGTGAGGCCCCACCCTGCTTGCTTTGGTCCCAAGGACTCCCCTAGTTGTAAGCAGGCAGTCTAACTCAGGGGTCCTACCCTGCCTCAGGGGCCCGTTCAGAGCCCTGCCTCTTGGCCACAGAGTAGAGGCTGAGCCCCCTTCCTGGCTCGGTCCTGGGTTCTGGGCCCATTTTAGGCCCCAGGCGCCCTCCTGACGCCAGTGTACAGGGCGGGAGCTTTGCTTTCACGGGCGGGCAGAGGAGCTGGGAGGAATGAGCACTCAGCCTGGGAGCGAGCAGCCTGGGTTCTCGTTCCCTTTCGCCTTTTGCTGTCTGTGTCACCTTGGGCAAGTCCCAAAGCTTGTGTGGGTCTCACTGTCATCAGCAAAAGGGGGATGAGAACTCCTACCCTGGTGACCTCACTGGAGTGTTGTGGGACCCAGGTGATGAGTAGTCAGGATAAGGTTTTCACAGGCTAAAACTTACTCCAAAACTTATTATGTCTGAGCTGGTAACGCTGAGCCGTGGCCAGAATGGCAAGTAGAGACCTTTCTGATCCAGGGGGAGTGTCTGGAAGGCTAGACTCCACCTGCCCCCTCTGAGAATCTGACTGGAGGCCACTTAGTTCTCACCTGAGGGCTGGACCACGCTGCAGACCGGAGGGCTGCAGCCTCTGCCTTCCCTTCCCTGCCCCTCCTGCAGCCTACCCTTGCTTGCTTCTGTCTGCCTGCCCTCTGGGGTCTAGCTTTAGGGACTGCTGGGTTTCCACTTTCTCATAACTGCAAAGCCATGCAAAACAACACAGAAGGTCGTGGGAGTTTGGGAGACACAACAGGGGATGAGGAAGGGCAGTGGGCTGCGTGGGGGTGACCTAGACAAAGACACCCTGGCTTCTGGAGCCAAGGGAGGGTGGGAGACCCGGTAGGACAGAGGTATAAATAGAGATGCAAACGGATGGGGAACACACGGGAAGTTCCCTCCGGACAGAGGAGGTGGGGGTGGGGTTGTCTGGGTACCAGCAGGGCCTCTGAGAACCGGGGATCTCCTTTGATTTCTAAAGGGATGGGAGGTTCCCAGCGGTTGCTTTCCCCTCCCTTCCCCCCAAGTTTCACATTTCTCGGAATTTGCAGGGCACAGATAGGGGCTCCAGGGGTCCTCAGAGCCCCAGCTCCTGCTGGCTGGTGCGAGCAGGCACAGTCGGAGAAGGGTGGAGGGAGACGGGGAGGGTGGCGAGGGATGTGTAGGGTGGCCCACGGGCTGAAGGCGGCTGGGGTGGCCCCCTCGCCGACCCCTGCTGCTCCTCCGGGCAGGAACCCCGCCCAGCCCGCGCTCCCAAATGCTCCAGGCCCCGCGCGGCCGCTCACACGGAGCTCCTGCGCTTCATGAGGCCGCGGAAGGTGGACAGGCTGTGCAGGCCCGTGGACACGGAGCTGATGGCAGAGCGCTGCGCCCCGCTGCACAAGCAACGGTGCGAGGGCGTGTCGCTGTAGCGGCCGCCCCCTCCCGGCGACGAGTGGCTCTGCTCCACGCACGTGTCGGACGTGGAGAGGTCCCGCGGGATGATCATGGGGATGGAGTACTGCAGCTTCTCGCGGCTCTTGTACCAGAGGCACGAGCACATGGACTGGAAGTGCAGCACCTCGGCGTAGACGTTTCGGAAGCCGCCGCCGCCGCCCCCGCCGCCGCCTACCGCGGCCGTGGAGGAGGCGGTGTCGGTGGTGTGCGCGCTGCCATCCGCGCCCAGACCGCAGCCACCGCCGCTGCCGCCGCCGCTGCCGCCCGCCTGCCCGTTGCGCGTGAGCAGTGCGCGGTGCTCAGCGTCGCGCTTCTCGTCCTCGGCGTTCATGGTCATGAAGCGCAGCACCACGAGGTTGAGGAAGGCGCCGATGACCGTGAGGCCCGTGAGGATGTAGACGAAGCTGAAGGCCACGTACTGCGGCTGCGTCTGCAGCGCCTGGTCCTTCTGCAGCGCCACGTAGTCGCCGAAGCCGATGGTGGTGAGCGTGATGAAGCAGTAGTAGTAGGCCTGGAAGAAGGTCCAGTGCTCGTAGTAGGAGAAGGCGGCGGCGCCGATGCACAGCGTGCTGATGCACGAGAAGAAGCCAATGAGCACCATGTTGGCCATGGACACGTCGGCGCGCCGCATGCCCAGTCCCCTCTTGGCGCGGTGCAGCAGGTACTTCACGAAGGTGTTGATGCGCTCGCCCAGGCTCTGGAACATGACCAGCGTGAGCGGGATGCCCAGCAGCGCGTAGAACATGCAGAACACCTTGCCGCCATCTGTGCTGGGCGCTGCATGGCCGTAGCCTGGGGGAAAGCAGTGGAAGAGGAGAGAAAGCAAGAGTTATGGCGCTGCCTTTCCAGAAACCCCGCCCCTGCCTGTCTTCTCTGCCCTGTGCCTCCCCCACCCTGTGGGGTCTGGCCTCTCCTTCCTTCTAGCCGAAGAGAGGACAACACACGGTTAGGCTGTATACTTGTCCCCATGCTCTGCGTTGGCTCCTTGCTGTTGCTTTTCGGTTACTCTTGTGTCGACTCCGTAGAGTTGGTAGAAGGTCACACTGTTTGGAAGCAGAGCCACCAGCGTTTGAACTGCTTGGCTTCAAAGACCTGATCTGCCTTTTCTGCCTAGAGAAGGAGCTGACCCGTGGGGCTGCTGGGAACTTCATCCAGAGGCAGGGGTGGTGTGCAGGGCACTGGCAAGCCCGTGGGGAGAACTGGGCTCTAGATGGTGTCTGTGGGCTTTGCTCCCATTTCTTGTCCTCTCTGGGCCTCAGTTTCCTTGACTCTAAGAGGAGAAGTTTGTGAATAGCTCCCGACATCCCATGATTCAGGGCGGAGGGAGGGAAACTGAGGCATGGATGGCTCCTTGGTGACTTCCCTTGGAGACACCCCTCCCCCAATATCCCGAGGAAGCTGCCCACCAGGACCCGCGAAGACAGGAGACAGTGCCTTCTCCTCACTCACTCCCCAGCTTCCGGGTCCTCATCAGCCCCAGTCTGGGCCTCAGGGCCATTCTCTGTGCCCCGCCCCATAGTAGGGTCTGTCCTCATGGGGGAAGTGGCATTGTCCTCGTCAAAACAGGAGCCCTGGGTGTCCCTACAGATGTTACTATCACTTGCAGAGACCCCTTATCTCTACTCACTCTTGTCTCCACCGACCCCATAGGCCCCACCAGCCCCCACAGAGCCCAGGAGCCAGGCAGAGGTCCCCCCCGAACCAACCACCAGGTGGCCTTTAGTCACGAGTTCTGTCTGAGACCAGGAGGGGAAAGGACCCTGGGTGGGAACTCAGAAGACCTGGCACATGTTCTGACCCTGTCACCAATGGCTGTGTGACCTTAGGCTACTACTCCCCCTCTCTGAGCACGTTCCCTCATTTGTAAAATGAAGACTGCTGGTCCTGGTCTTCTTCCTGCATTGGGCTGTTAAGATATTTATTACTTGTATTAACGGGATTATTATAATAAAGAAATCCTGGCAGTCTTTCCAAATTTTCCCCCTTTCTAAGCCTGATCAAAACTGAACTGAATGCTGCCTCTTCCATGCAGTTGTTCTGGATTCTTCCCAGCTGGCAGCGATCTCTGCTTGGAGTGGCACAGAATGTCCAGCTTTGAACTCCGGGCCAATACTACCACCACCCCCACTCTGTCCCCAGGGCCACCAACCACAAATGTACAGTGAGATACGAGCTTAGGGTGGTAGGGTGGGCACTGCTGGTCCTTGTCACGTTCCTTTCTAGTTCATGCCCAGGGGATGTGCCCAAAACACGTTCGATGAGGCAGGGCAGGGTGCTGTGTGCTTTGGTGTCTGATATGAATTCAGATCTTTCCTCTGCCATGGACTCTGTGTGTGTGTTTTTAAACCTCTCCGAGCCTTAGTTTCCACATCTATAAAATGGGGCTAATGAGCAGCAGCTGCCTCCCAGCGCCTTTGGGGAGAAATAGTGAGATAATGTATTTATAGTGAGATAATGAAATAGTGAGATAATAGAGCCTGGTGCATACCAGGTGCCCAGTAACAGCTCACTCTGATGCATTATGGGCGAACACCCAGATCACCCTCACGGTGCCAAGAGACCACCTGGGCTGGGGGTCAGCTCGGTTCCAGGAAAGTGGACATCTCTGTCGGCCCAAGGTCATTTGAGTCTCAGAGCTCAGGAAGGTCTGGGGACAGCTGCTTGGGGTGTGCAAGGCTGTGGGCTACTCTGAGAATGGGCTGTCCCGTCTCCCCAACCCTGGCATCGAACTGGCAACGTCGTCACCCTCTGCCAGGGGCCCGGACGGCTGAGCTGCTGAGCCGCCATGCCTGCCTGTCCATGTCTCAGCAGAGTGAGAACAGATTGTGCTCGCCAGCGCAGCCATGGCAGCCAGATCACAACTCACCTCGACAGCTGGGCAGGCCTTGAGCCAGAGCTGCTTCTCATCCTGTCCTTCCCTGTCCCCTGGGCCAGCACACCGAGCTCGGTGTGGGGGAGGGCCTGGCACTGTGGATGGGGCTGGATAGGGACTGAGCTGGCAGGGGCTCAGCCCCAGCCTGACCACATGCTGGTTGTGTGACCTTGGGCAAATCCATCCCCCTCGCTGGACCACTTTGCGCACTCTAGGCGGGTGGGGAGGTGTTGAAGTACAGCTGTTAATCCCTGCCCTGGCTGCCTGGCAGAGCAGTCTTCGGGGGGTAAAGGAGAGTCCCGGGGGTGGGGGAAGTCTCTGCAGGGTCAGACAGCCATATCCCACTGTCAGGGCGAAGCACCCCCTCTCACCACCACACCCCGTGTTTGCTCATAGGCCGTGACTTTACCTGGCCCAGCATCCTTTAGGAAGACCCAGCGTGCCTCTACCTGGCAGCCTCGCTGCCCGCAAAGCCCCCAGCTTCAGGGGGACTCTCCCTGATCTGAACACAGCCCACATCCCAGCAGACAGGACAGCCACCTTCTTCCCCTGGGCGGTCCTCATGGCATCCTCCTCCCCGCCCCTGCCTGCCCAGGTCCTGAGCGCCCCCGTGCTTTCCCTGTCTTCCAGCCAGAAGGGCCCGCCTCCTGCTGAATGCCGTGATTTTCAGAGCAAGCCATGCATCCAGGCTCAACCAAAGGCTCCGCTCACACCAGAGCCTCACGCTTCACTGCAGCCACTGTCCTGTGCAGGGTGGCCCCAGCCTGGATGTGCCTCACCCTTGGGATGCTCCCAGGGCCCACCCTCATTTCCTACCACAGGCTGAGGCTTAAGGTCTTATCCTTCAGGTCCACTTTTAACTTTAATTCTCAAAAACGTCCTACTACAAGGTTATTATTATAACCCACTCCATTTGCTAGTAGGAGTAATAAAGGCTGGAGAGGGCTTGTGAGTTGGCCACGGTCTCTAGGATTTTCTGACTCATCACTCATTCTGATGCTTCAGAGCCAATTCATTGCCCAGAAAGGGTGACTGGGATGGGAAATGGGGACCCCAAGAGGGGAGCACTCCACCTGGGGCCTTGTCACTGGGCACGGCCGCGAGCTGGGCACGGCAGAAGTGGCAACGGCAGCACCATGCCCAGGGAATCAGACGCTGCTGCAAGTGTCGGGCCCAGGGTCAGCACACCAGGCCCCTTCGCCTCTTCTGCTGTCACTGGGTGAAAGGACAAGAGCTGCGAGGGCCTGCTTACGTGGGCGCTCCGCTCAGAGGGGAGCCAGCTGGGGTGGAGCCATTCCCAGGGGACCCTGGGAGGGCTGGGAAGTGACTGGGAGTTTGGTAAGGCCTGTCTGCCTGCCAGCGGGCCCATTGCCTGCCTGGTCAATGCCCATGCCGGGCTTGGGTTTACAAGGGAGAGTAGGGCAAAAGGTAGCTGCCATCTTCTCCCTCTTGTCCAGCCCCGTGTCTCCCCCTGAGGGGCTCCATCTGTCCTCGTGTGTCACTGGTACACACAGAGGCTGCCATCTGGAGACCCTCCTTCACACTATCCTATGGACTGACCAGTCAGAACTCTTGCTCAGACTCTAGCACTATCTCTCAGAGCTCTGACCAGGGCTGTCCCCACCTCCCCAGCCACCCTGCCCAAATCCTCCACCAACTTAAAGGTTCTAAGGGCCAGAGAGACCCTTAGCGATCATATGGCTCATTCCTTATATCGTGCAGATGGGGAAATGGAGGCCCAGGGAGGGGAAGTGACCTTCTTAAGGTCACACAGCTAGTGAATGGCAGAGCCAGGGCTATAACCCAGGATACTGAGTTCTGAACTCAGTGCTCTGTCCTCTGCCCTCTGGCTCAGTATGACCAAGGTTGCCTGTTCATTCCGCCACGGCCCAGCAGTCTCTGAGAGGGAGCGACGTGGCTCAGAGGTGCTCCTGGAACCTATCTGGAGGTGTGCACTTCACCTGAGGAAGCCAGGTGCTGGACATAAATATTGATTATGAATATCTGGGGGCAGGAGGAAAAATGAGAAGTGAGATGGGCGTCCCTGGGCCTCAGTTCTCCCGTTTTCCTCCCGACATCACCAAGGAGCTCAGAAACCAGCCGAAGTTCTGTCTTCTAGGGAGATGCTAAAGGCTGGAGGCCCAGCCATGCCTCCTGGTGGGCTTTCTCTCCCTGTGGCCTGTTTCCTTCTAGTCAAAGTACAAGTGACCAGTCTGAGCCTTGGTAATGGCCTTGGCTGGACCGGGCTCAGCTGCCTGCTCCCCACTGACCTCAGATGTGCTCTCCCCATTGACTCATATGCCTGCGTGGCTGACCTCGTGCCGCAACGCCAGAAGGCTGGCCACAACCTTGGGCGGGGAAAGAGCATGGGCTAGGAGGCGGGAGATGGGGGCGGGTGGGGGTTCTGACTTGACCCTGACTATAACTAGCTTTCTGCCTTGGGCAAGGCCTTCCCCTTCTCTGGCCTCAGTTTCCCTCATCTGTGACATAGGAGGATAGGGCAAGAGAAAAGATTCCCATCTTTTTCCTTGCAATGGGTCCCTTTTATTATTTTTTCCTGTTCACTCATATAGAGCCTAAATTTAGAAAGATCTAACTTGTGAAGTACCGTGTGTCAATCAGGGCCGCGTAGCTGCCACACAGAACAGGCACCAAATAAATAACTTGGACAGCACTAATTATTTTCCCATCAAAATTCATTAAGAACATGTCTGCCAATCACAACCTTTGATTAGCTGGGATAACTGACTTTATGAGACTGAGCCAAAGTATTATTGCACTTTGGAAATACTGAAAACAGGATTCGTATTTCCTGCAGGGGATCTGCGCAGATCAGGGCATGGATGAGGGTCCGGCCTTTGGAGCCAAACAGCTCTCAGCTCCGGCCAGGTAACTCCTCTAAGGGCCTCGTCTCTCTCGT